CGATAACGTCGGTAAAAGAACGTATGTCGGTATATCGTCGGTAATGTCGGTAAAAGAACGTATGTCGGTATATTGTCGATAACGTCGGTAAAAGAACGTATGTTGGTATATCGTCGATAACGTCGGTAAAAGAACGTATGTCGGTATATCGTCGGTAATGTTGGTAAATCGAAAGTGTTCTCAATTGATTATTGTTTAAATGACTACTTTGTTGTACGGATTTACGAAGTTATTTCTTGAGACACAAGATTTTTAAGAGATTGAACTATTTGCGTTTTTCCGTGTTAGAATTCCGAGGGTGGCACCGCATGTGGTGGTCGACCCTAGTTTTATAGCCCGACCCTTTTTTATAGCTTCCGCAGTGACGATGGAAAAGAGGAAAAATGCGTCGGAGATTTTTCTAGAATGTTCTCTTCCACGTGGTAGAAGCGTCTCTGAATTTACTAACACGCGCGATTCCTTAGGTTAACGTGAATTTCACTTACCTTTAGTAGCACTTTCTTGATCGTGTCGGCTCGTACTTGGAGGTGGAGCGTGCGGCGAGGGTCGTTCACTGGGATGTATGCGGCGGACCTCACTATCAGTTCCTTATTTTGGCAATTGCTGAGAATGTTAATTCTAACTGTGGTGAGCGGTGGTCCGCTCCAGACACAGTTTTGAATTGTTCTGAATTCAAACGCCGTATGACAGATTTAAACGCTATCGTGTTTTATCACGGGAGTGGAAGTTTTGAAGAGTACTGAACACTGATTTTCATGAATACACTGATTTATTCGTATAGTAATACAGAATTCGAAACTAAAACTTAGAATTAGAATTTAGACTTAGACTTAGATTTAGATTTTAGAGTTAGGATATTATACTTAGAGTTAGAATTTTAGAATTAGAGTTAGGATTTAGAATTTGGACTTAGAGTTAGAATTTAGAAGTGCGACTATACTGTTCGGTGTCGCGCAGAGAACTGCCGAAATTCGGGACTGCTCTGAGGTCCTTCGTTTCGGCGGCTCGGGCCTGCGGCGGCCTGGAGAGGGGGAACTCTCCGGAGTAGGGGCTCTCACCGTGGTGGGAGATCCTTAGGCGCTACGAAGCGCCACGCTTAGTTTCTAGGCGGAGTTAAGCGTCATGGCCGGCTTTGGCGCGCTTTTCAAATAGCGTTTAAGGAACTTGGAGTAAACGAAAAAATTTATACGGCCGGACGTGACACCTCCCCCCTTAAAATAAAAATGTTGGAATTTAATGTTCCAACATTTTGGACTTAGTTTTCTATGCGCTACGATTAGGTTCTTAACTTAACATTGATTATGTAAATATTTATTTAGTTCGCCGTAATCTTTCATTGGGGGAACACTCGTAGGGTGAGTTTTTGCACACACTTTGCCACTGTCTGATTCGTTAATCGAAGGGGTTTGTTGTGTGGGCAGGGTTAAGGGTGTTTCTTCTTCGTTCGTTGGAGGGGTTTCAGGTGTGTAGCAGTTCTCGTCCGTTGTCCTGTTCTCCGTCCGCTGATCTGCCAAGGTGTAGGAGGACGTTGGTCACCGAGGTCCAAATGGCTCCGAGTAGATGTAGACTCCATCCATACACCGAGTGGAGTGCGTACCCATGGATCAGGGTGTCGATTATTAATTTTATCAATCGTATGGTAACGAAGATGCCAAGTACTCCGGCGCTGGCGGATCCGAAGCTTATAAATCCTTTCCATAGCCTGGCTCTGGTATTTTCCGCTATTCGGTCGAGAGATTTCTCGTCTAATAAATTCAGCAAGGAGAAACTGCCTGTAGGAATTTCCTGTCCCATTGCTCCCCTGGCGATTGTGTGAAGCATGGAGGGTTTTTCCACGGGGAACATGATATGGTCGCGAAGACAATCAAGATCTTCGTTCGTATAGATACCACTGGAAGCGAGTGAATCCGGGCTTACGTACTTCCATGAGGGTTTGGTTAGAGGCCTGATAGTAGGCGGTGCCACCGATTCCACGGGTTTCGGTGTTAGTCTATACCAGGTGTTGTGTATTTGGTATAGAGTTGGTAATAGTTCATTGCAATCCCTCGATGTTCCGGCTTTAGTAAGTATCTTCGATCTTGGTAAGAGGAAGAGTGACTTATTTTGATGAGTGACGGGGAGTTCGTTGTAGCACACCTCGGTAGGTCGTAGGCGGCATTTGACAGGTATACATTTGATGAGGTGTATAACTTCACCTGCAGTTATGGCGGTATAACCTGGAGACTTCATTATTCGATGCGCCATTTCGTCAGGTGCTATGCTTGCTAGAGAAAGTGCGTTGAGGAGGATCTGCCTTTCCAGTGCACATTTTTGCTCCATAATATCCTTGTATAGTTGGGTCAGCTGGGTCTTCAGGTGTTTCTCGACGTATATAAATTTTGAATTCACATATGTGAAGATGTCGAGGTTGTCGATTCTGACCTTGGAACGGCTTTTGAATGTCCGTTCGGGCCTCGTTTCGAGGATACACAGCTTGGGATGTTCCGTTCGCCAAAGGTTGTATCCGCATACGTTGGTCTCGGTTGTCCTTGCTAATGCGAAGGTTGTGTCACGCGCCGTGACTGTATAAATCGTTGGCGCTTCCTCTTGGGGAGTGCTGGGCGACAATCGATATGCTATTCCTTCGTAGAGAACATCGTATCGTCCAAAGTGACAGTTGTCAATTGGCAGGATTGTCCAGAAGGTGGAGGCGCCGTCGGCATCAATGCATTCGCCTGTCGTTACGGGACAGCGAGTGCCGGATGGAAGTATCACTTCATTGTTATTGTATCCAACGGGCAAGCTCCAATCAATGTCGTATCGTGATTCGTACTGAGGCTTGCACGATCACGTCGTCCCATGAGCCGTATGCGTCGCTGAACTGGGTGCCGCTGCATTTTCCGTCTGTCTTAACTGATCCTGCGAGTGTCATTGCTCTTAGGTTTGTTGCATTTGGCTTAATCCCAGTAATGTGCTGGTTAACTCCTAGGGATATGGTCCCTGTTTCGTGCAATTTTCGGCATGTGTCTGCCGATATTTCGTGGATATACTCCTGTCTTCCGTTCTGCACCGCTGCTATATGAGAGTGCATTCCGCAGTAAAATATAGTCCGGTCTATTTCGATTTTGCATTGGTAAGCAGGAGTATGCACGAATTCACTGAGTTGGAGTAGTTGTATATAGACTTCCTCCTTCTTAGGTTCGATGCTGTTGGTTTTACACTCTTCGATATCTAAGAGGGAGAGTGTTGTGATGTTCAGGCCCCGTCCTCCGCAGTCGTATCCGATTAGTCCGCTGGATAGTGGAGCCAGGAAGGCCATGCCCAGGATGATTGCGAGAGTCCTCATCTTAGCGTGGTTGGTTGATTACTGGCCCGTCCTCCGTTGGGGCGTCCGAGATATATTCGTCTTCGGAGTGGGGGTCTTCAAGGGTGGGGGCTTGATGTGGTGAGGGCTTTAACTTGTCCATATGTACAGTTTTAGTCTTACTATTGCTTATAGCTAACTTAACGTTATTTTTACCTAGTATCTTTATTATCCTATAGGGACCTGTATATTGGTCTCCTAATTTCCCTTTGTTAGGTTCCTTAAGTAAGTAAACGCTATCGTTAATCTTAAATTTACGCGTATTGATTTTCTTATCGTAGTATTTCTTACTTCTATTCTTAGCATTATTTAAGTTTTCGCGTGCGGCTGTTTGAGAATCGCGCAATTTGTTGAATAGTGTGGTTAAATATTGTGTATAGCTTTCGTTAGTCATGCTTTTGATGTCCGGGTCGCTCGAGGGGACCCGCGCGATTTTCCCGAAAATAAGTTCGTACGGAGTGTATTTTGTACCCTCATGTACGCTCGTATCCCTAGTAGCACAATTCATTGGCACAATATTGGTTAACAATATATACCCAAGTTTTAATATTGGCCATAGTATAATTTTCCATATTGGTCCAATATTGTAAAGTAGACGCTCTGTCACTTTAAACCAATATTAATTTTAATATTAAACCAATATTAATTTTAATATTAGACCAATATATTATTTCATCTTTAACCAAGATTCTTATATATTTTTACATTGGCTACAAATAAATTTCCAATATTGTAAAATAGACAACTTTCTTTTTTTTAGCCAATATTAAATTGTATTATTAGCCCAATGCATTAATTTTTCTTCTTTAATCAATCAATATATATATGTACATATACATATACATATTAATTCATCCCACTTCCCTAGCGAGTTGCTATAGAATATATATATAATATATATATATATAATATATGTTAACATATATATGTAACATATATATATATATATTTCTATAGCAACTCGCTAGGGAAGTGGGATGAATTAATGTATATGTATATGTATATGTACATATATTGATTGATTGAAGAAGAAAAGTTAATGCATTAGGATAATTATATATAATTTAATATTGACTAAAAAAAAGAAAGTTGTCTAGCTTATATTATTGATCAAAAATATAAATGTAGTCTTACTAAAATTTAAATAACTTATATAGATAGTAAAAATAATCATGTATATGTATATGTATAAGAAGTTTATTGTTCATAAACTTTTCAACTTTATCATTTTCAAAACTTGTTTTATTTTTTATACTTGTTCCATTTCTTATATATTTTTACATCGAATAATATATAATACTAGACTTATAATATGTAATATTTATAAGAATAAATGCTAATATTTTATTAAAAATAAAAATAAATTGCATATAATTGCACATGAGTATAAAATGAACGCGCGAATAAAGTTTTAATAAGACAAAATTAATCAAATATTTCTTACTTTTACTTTTACTTTTTTATCGAATAACATACATTTTTTATTATATATGTATATTCGATATATATTTTCTTTAAAAATAACTTTATATTATTATATATATATAATAGCATAAAAATAAAATTGCATATAAATAATTTAAACAAAATAAATTTCTTTTATACTTAATGTACTCTGGTAATTTTTTGTAATTTTTGGTAATTATGAAAGAAAAAACCTAATTTGTAGATTTCGAAAATCTTTCTTTTCTTCCTCCTTCTCTGTCTCCACTTTCTGCAAGGAATTTTGATATTTTTTGCAAAATTTCATTTCTGGATACATTTGGTATTTTTTTCGACACAACCTCTAGAAACAAAAAATTTATAAACAAGCTTATTATTTTAAATTAGTAATAAACAATATGTATAATTATATTAGTCCAAATTTAGTTTTTAAATCGTTATTAAATTTATTATAATTTATGAAATTATACTGAAGTTATGCTTTAATACTAAATATAAAAATAAAAGAAATATTCTAAAATTTAATTTTACAATATCAATGCAAGTAATATATTTAAAACAAATATTTAAATATTTAAAACAGTTTGATATATGTATAATTATATATTTAAACAAAAATTAAAGAAGTGTGTATAATAATATATATATATATATATATATTGTATTGCCTTTTTTATAACATTTGACAAACTTCTTAAATGTTATTAGTTACTTTAGATATTTTTAAAAATATTTTACTAACAAAATATAACTTACCAAATACTGCAGCAGCAACCTTAGTTGCAGAAAAATCACGTTTTTTTTGTTTTCCGGAACCACTGAAATGCATGGAAACAGTCTTCTTCATAAGTAATTTCATTACTGATGGCACTAATGCCTTTACAGTTTCTCCTGAACCAAGGTTGAGATATTTTATCTAAAAGTTAAAACAGTTGCTTATATATAAGAAACATATTTATTCAATTCGCTAAATTATTTCAATTACAAATTCTCCCAGGTAAATTGTATTATATAGCTCAATTTTTTTGTTTTTAAATATTACATTTTTAAAATAACAAGTTTTTTTGTGCTTATTTCTTTCTTAACGCTAAATGTAATGTAATATAAAAATCTTGTATAATGTAAAACATGCTATTTTCCAAAAACATTGTGAAATTAATGAAAAAGATTTTTTATTTTTATATTCTTACCAAAGATATAAAGTTTTCTTCAGAATTTTTCAAACCTTGATCAATTTCATCAAAGGACTCCATGGAACAAATCGGAAGAAGGTGACTAAATGTGTTTATGACACTATTATCATTGTGTGTCAATAGAGTATCTAATTTTACTTTTATTTCTTGTTGTCCCTTTCAATGCAACTGTTTCAAATCTAACTTCTTCCTTAATTTAAAAATTTTTGTTAAAATGCCTGAAAATCGATTAAAAATTATATAAAAGTTATATTTGTATTAAAAATTAACTAAATTATAAGTACCATTTTTTCTTAAATTAAAATATGGCAGTAATAGAATTTTACCTTCTTTAATTTGTTGAATGTTTTTGATTTTTCTACTTCGCTTCTTTGGATGGTTGTAGTACTTTTATTGGATAATACAGGATCAGCTTGGGAATCTCTTTGTAAATTTAACTCATTATCAGGAAAAGATGGAACATTAGGACGTTTATCTGAATTTACTGTACACTGATTTCCTGAAGCTAGATCATCTCTTCATTGGAAGAACTATTTAGATTTTGATATGAAATCTTCTTTGACTTTCTGCTTCATCTCTTTGGATGCTTTTATTTTTATTGGATTTAGGACCTTTCTCTGAATTTATTTTATACTGATTTTTTGAAGCTAAAGCATCATTTTCATCATCTTCATCAGACAAATTGTGATGTTTATGTTGGGATTTCTTCTGTCGTGTATTTGTTGTATCAGAAGTAGAGTCATCACTACTACTTAACTGAGACGTATCTTGTGCTCTTTCCGCTTTTTTCATGGCTTCAGTTAAATTATCTATAAAGAGGAATGTATATAGACAAAAAAAGTAGACAAAAAATATGAAAAATTGAATTAATATTTTTTTATCATAATTTTCTATGAAAATTTGCATATTTTTATATATCAACACATTCTTATTAAAAATTTTATTTTAAATTATTTCATTTCAATATTATATTAGTTTGATAACTTTTATTCATTTATCTTGTATTATAACATATAAGTATGCATAATAAAACAGCTTAATAGAAAAGTGACTATGACAATGAAAATATAAAAAATCAATACCTGCATGTCCTAAAACTCTTATATGTACAGAAGTCCAATCATCATGGGCTGAGTATTATTTTCAAATATTTCTTAGAATGGCAGGAGATATAGTATTGGGCCATAATGTAGTTTTTTATCAAATGATATCCAAGAAGAAGGAATAATTTCAACGGTATTTTCATCATAAATTCAACTATGAAATATTTTTGCATCTGCATACAGAGATGTTACATATATATTTTGATAATTATTTTCTTGCTTTGTTTTTCAGACCAATTGTCTTATTATTATATTCAAGATCATCAAATGTATCAAATTCTAACAGAAATAATTCTATAAACGTTTTTAAAATGTTTGTATATATGTATATATTGTATGTATACACACACACACACACAACACATATATATATATATATATATATATATATAGTGTGTGTGTATATATATATATATATATATATATATATATATATATATAATGTGTGTGTGTGTATATATATATATATATATAATGTGTGTGTGTGTATATATATATATATATATATATATATACATTAATATAAAAATTTTATATGAAAAGAGGACATAAATATTATCTTAATTAAATTTATACAGTAATTGTGTGTAAAAGAGGAGATCCAATATGTGAAATTATCTTTAAATAGAATGCATTTAGCTTCTATTTCGTTATAATTTAATTACTTTAAAGTTTTTCCAATTTATACATTCTATATATTTTAAACTTTTGAGATTCACAAGGATATCTAAAGTAATTGCAATATTTTGTAAATTGCTTACAAATTAAATCGACACAGGTGTATTTCTTGTGCATTTTTAAGAATAATATTTAAATTTGCACACACTTTTCCATTTTTTTAACAACGCATAACGATAGATCTTTACGATAAGTGACAAAGTGATATTTATGAATAATTATCTCTTTATACTGACTTATAGAGTTTTCTGTTGTAGCAATAAGTGGTCCACATTCAATTTCAATTCAATACTTTATTTGCCCCTCAGGGATTAAAGGCGCTTTTGAGAGCGTACCCAAACCGTACAAAGGGCTTACAAATGCTGAACTGAGGACTACTCTTACTCTACCCTTACATCTATCTTACAATTATCTTATCTCTAACTGAATCTACCTATTTACTAATTAAGAGAGAGAAAGAGCTGTCCCTAACCTATTCCTCGCTTCGCCTCGGCTTCCAGTTCCCCATACATTCCCCAACATCTCATTCATACTTTCACACAGTTCTCCTCATACCTCCTTCCTCCTCCGTTCCCCGTCTACCCTCCCCTCCATCCCGTTTCTCTAATTCCCTCATCCACCCTTCTCTCTCCGCCTTCTTGCAGTATTTCCCTCATTTTTCCCACCAGTTTCCCTTATTCCCCTCTCCCCCACATTCTCCTATTACATGTTCCCAATTTCATCTTCATCCCACATAGTTTGCATCTTCTTTTCCCCTCTCTCCCAGTATCTCGCCCCCGCATTTCATTGTTCATTCTATACCTCACTATCCTTCTCCATCTGCTTTCCCCCCATTTCTTTCTCAAGTATTCGGTAACCCCCCTCCTTCCATTCTCCATACCATCTATTGTATCTCGACTCTCTTATCTTCTCCCATCTTTCCTCCTTTTGCCTTTCTCTGTCCTTCTGCTCCCATCCCTCATATACTTCCTCCCCCTTTCTCTTTTTTCCTCATCTCCCTCTCTTCTATCCCCCTTCCTTCAAAAAATTTTGCCCTCTCTTCCTCCCACACCGTTCTCCTTCCTTTCCTTTACCCTCTCCTTCATCTCCTCATAGCATTTCCTCGCTAAACTTCCTCCCATTCCTCCTCTAATTTTCTCTTACCCTATCGCTCTTCTTCCTGCTCTTATCTGAATTTATCCTTTCCTATCTCTTCTCGTACCATATACCCCGGCGTACACCAATCTACTCCTACGTTCCACCTAATCCATTTCCTGCATTGCCTCTACTTCTCTCCTCTCCTTCCACACCCCATATTCCCGCCATACTCCATCACCGTTCCCACCAACCTTTCCATTAACCATACTCTTTTCATCCAGTCTCCTGCAAATCTTCTCTTTCCATACCCCATACTTGTCTCATCACCGCTCCTGCTTTCCTCACTCTGTCCCTCACCTGCGCCTCCTGTCCTCCATTCCTTTTAACTATATCCTAGATACTTGAACTCTTTCACTTCCTCTAATTTTTTCCCTTTCCATTCCACTCCATTTTCCTCATTCTTCCTCCCCCCTTTCTAAACCTCATTATTTTTGTCTTATCCACAATTTACCTCTAGCCTTTTTTTATCCATGTAATTTTCCATTTTCCCCAACATATGTATCATCCCCTCCTCCTCCTCCGCCAACAAACCATGTCTTCCGCATAGCCAAGCAGTGCACTTTTTCCCCTCCCAACTTTACTCCGCCCCAGCCTCCTTTTTTCAGCACTTCCTCTATATCCGATATCAACAAATTGAACAAGTGTGGGCTCATTGGACAAACTTGCCTCACCCCCTTGCCGTCAAGAAGTTTCTCCTTCCTCCTTCCCCGCTCTACTTACTCCTCGTTTCTTGTATACCTCTTCTATCCTACTACTTAACCTTCTCTTACCCCCCTCTTCCTCATCGCCTCCATTAACACCTCCCTATCCACTGAGTCAAACGCCGCCTTCAGATCTATGAAGGCGCCTACTACCTTACCTCCCTTCTTCTTCACTTTTTTATTGATCAGGATAGTTAGCACATATATACTGTCAATCACACCCATTCCCTTCCTAAAGCCTGTTTGACTCTCCGGCAACATATTCCCCCTCTCTATTTCCTCTTTAACCTTTCTGTTAGAATCCCCACATACACCTTATAACGTTGGAATCAAAGTCACCCCTCTGTAGTTTCCACCTATTCCCGTTCCCTTTTTTAACAGTGGTACTATTATCCCCTCTTTCCACCTCTCCGGCCATCCTTCCCATCTCCAGACTCTGTTGCACATTTCCCATACCCACTTTCTACCCTCTCTCCTCCATATTCCATACCTAACTCGGTATCCCATCCTCCCCCGCGGCTTTTCTTCTTCAATTTCCCAATCCTCTTTATTCCCCCCTGCTTATCATCATGCTCCTCATACCTCTCCCTTTCTCTTTTCCTCCTCTTACAACTTTAACCTCGACCCCTCCCA